GTCATTGCTTTCATACCAGCGTTTATAATCTGTGCTTGCTTTGGTATTTTCCGCTTGCGTGTGTGTGTGTGTGTGAGAGAGAGAAAGAGAGAGAGAGAGTTGAAACGTATATATATTTGCACAGATCTTGCGTCTTCCTGTCTTCCCTCAAAAATCTTTGTTTATATTGCGTCTCACTTTGGTTCATTGCCAGTAAATCCTTCATTCTCCAGATTCAAAGCGCCTTGAAATAGACGCTCATAAAACCAACGCTATTAAAGACAGACAAATTAGGGGCTTAACTCTGGTAAGCACTGTACACAAAACAAAAGGGAGTTTAATGTGTGTGTGCGTTCGACGGCACTCTAAAACGTAATGACAAAAACCTACTCGCCGTTCCAATGATACTAGGCAAGTTTATTTGTATAGTACAGTTCATACACGAGGCAATTCAAAAGTACAAACAAACAGATAAACAGTATTTTTGCCAAGGAAAATAAAAGTACAAGGCCAACAAACCAAGATACAACATTCAACATTGATTAACATATGGTGAAGACACATTCACTCAGTTGTATGCACAGATAAACAGAATACCCGGATTTGAACAGAGTAGAAGCCTGTCTCACATTTTCAGGAAGACTGTTCCAGATTTTAGCTGCATAAATCCGGAAACAATGCCTCCCCATGTTAAGTCCTAACTCCGAGAACCTGCAGGAGGCCAGTCCCTGTGCCACCTCAGAGTCCCAGCAGGAGGTCCATAGTCTGAGTTGGTTCATTCATATGGCATTAAAAAGTTCGATTCCACTTCCAGACCTGCCTCTTCTGTGCAGAGTTTGCATGTTCTCCCTGTCTTTGCGTACATAGGTTTTCTGTATGTATTCTGGTTTCCCCTACCACTAAAAACAAGTATACTAGGTGATGATTGGAGGCTTCGATGCGCCAGAGTGACTGCTTTGTGGGACCTCGGCCTGTGAAATGCGACATATAAATAAAGATGATTTACTCACTCACTGACTGAATTTGCGCAGCTCAGACATCACCACAGCTACAGTATAGTTTAGTAAGGTTCATCTTGTTGTCTAAGTAGAATTACATTTTGTATTCTATACCAGACAAACGTAAATAACCTTTTGCTCTGTGGTTTGCATGTCAGAGCAAAAATGTTAATGTTTTGTTAGATGGGCCCTTTCTACACTGCAAAAAGAGATAAAATATGAGGTAATAAATGCATAAATTAAGTGTTTTTTTAATCTTAATTTGAGGACTGTCTTAAAACAAGATTTGCCGAGGGAACAAAGCCATTTAGTCTTATTTAAAACAAATTAAGTAAAATTTAAGTGATTTATTGTCATCACTTTTGGAGTGTATGTGGAATATGAATAGCCTGCTTGTGTCTTGAAGTTAGTTTACCCTTCAGCTCCTTTAGAGAACGGGTCAAATGCACAGGGCACTAAACTTCTCAGTCACTTCACTCTGTGCCGGACCTTGCATCAAAAGTTTGAAAGCTTTTCCTAGAGCCCTGTGCATTCGCCCCGGTTCATCAATATTGGTCTTGTCTACTTTCCATCTGCAGTCTGTTATGTCTTGTACGCAGTGACCCAAAATGAACAGTGCTCGGGCGCCCGTGTGCTCCCAGGTTGGCAGATCTCCCTCCCCTCTGTCTCCCCCCCTCACCCTCTCCCACAGCAGGCAGTGATCCATGGTAACAGGATGGATACTCGTGCCCAGAGCACAGCTGAGTCTCCTCAGGGGACCCCATCGTCCGCTCTACAAACGCTATTTCAACTTTAAAAACACATCCATATCGTCTCCTGTCTGTGTGCAATCTCAAAGCAGGGTTTAATAGATTTCAGGTCCTATCATTTTGTCCATAGTTTGGAAATATGATCCTTGTTTTGACCAGGGAATAAAAGGTGTAGCCAAAAGCAGTGACATTATTTACTGTATTACTTAAAGCATAAATACTATACGCATTATTTTTGCCTTTAAAAATGGTAAGGGCTTTATGGTAAGGGATAATTATTACTTTGTCATGTAATGTCTAGAAAGAAAATTAAAATAAAGATTTTTTTTTTAAATAAAACAATGTTTTATTGCAGGGAAAGTGAATGCAGCTTTAGCTTCCTCTGTACTCTGCCATTGTATCCTTGGGCAAGACACTCAGTCTATGTAGTAGTGTTCATCTCCTAGTGTCTTGCGTTCATCATTCTAACCCAGAGCAGCTCTACTACAGATAGTAGTGTCCTTCAAGCCGAGAACGAACCAATAACGACGTCGGTCTTTCATTTTCCTAAAAGCAGGAAGTGCACTCTTAGTGTACTAGTTGTGATTATCTTTACCGTGATAGCCAATCTCCACTCTGATCTCCCCACGCTGTCCATGGTGCTTGTAAACTCACCATTAACAATTAAGATTGATATTATGACTAAGAGATCCATTAGTCACCCCACTCTGGGGAAATTTCAGTGTTGCATCCCCAGTTACCGAACATTAGGAAAGAGGAGCACACAGCACAAGATAAATGAACACCCATCCATCCATCCATTTTCTACCCTTTAATCCATTTCTGGGTCAGGGGGGTGGCAATCAGAGATGCCACCCAAGTCTCATGCAATCTATAACTTTAGCATAATAAAGAAGCAATAATTAAGTATTAAGTCTCTATCTTTAGCAAGTTTAAAACCCTTTCTATTCTAGTGCAAGACACGACATGTGAGGTCAGGTCGGCAGTGTCTGTTAGTCCTCATTGTTCGTTGTACAGTCTGACAGCAGCAGGAACAAAAGACCTGCAAAACCTCTCCTTCACACAACGAGGCTGGATCAGTCAATAACAGTAGTAGTAGTAGTAGTAGTAGTAGTAGTTGCAGCTGCTATATTTGCACTCTTTCACTGTACATTTCAGTTTTTCCGACCCTTTCTTTCATTCCCGTTAGCCTGAATGCATTTGCCGCTTTTGGCCTCCGTATTTCTCGCTCTGATTTCGTGCTTGCGTGCTTCGCTGACTGATGGAGCCGGCCTTGACATTTTCTACAGCAGAATTCGTTCGGGTCAGTTTACTTCTCACCTCCCCCTCCATGCCATTACCTCCTTATAGGTCACCGGCCACACTCCCGAAACCAATAGAGCTGAGGCCAATATAAAAGGCGCCAGTTCATATATTTTAGACAGTAGGAGCGATTTACTGGTTAGCTTCATGAGGGAAGAAGTGACAAGCCCTGTGTACAAGATGGCCGTGTTGTGTTAGTGCTCAGAGAGGCTTGACTAGTGGTATTTTGCAAGGATGCGTTTCAATACCAGGGCTGCAGAAATTTTCTGATTATCAACATAGATTTGTTAATATGTATAAATTGAAAAACCTGGTGAATTGAGAGGTTAAAGAAACACATAGATTTTGTCTTTGTCTGAAAATATATGGTGTTGTCTTTAGGTTGACTTTCTCCCCGTGGGATGGGTTTGAGACATAGTTTTGTTCTATTGCAAATCATCATCAAGTCAAATGCCACTGAAATAAAGAGCATTCTGTGTTAAAGGTGATATATGCAACAAAATCATACATATTTTTGACTATATGACCCTGACAATGTTAGCATACTTTTGTCTTTTTTATGCATTTGTGTATAATTGGCAAAGGACTAAAATACTTGCAGCCTTTGCTATTTTCTAATTGACATCATTAACATATATGATAAAGTCAGATTGCGATTTCTCATGTAATCCCTATGCAACGTAGATAAAAAGGAGAGAAAAAACAGGCTTATTTACAGAAACTCAACATCCATTATTTTCACATTTCAATGCAACTTAATGGGGAAAAAACGCCGTGGAACAATTTTCTCTGCTGCTATTGATTACCCATATACGTCTCAATCACACTCTTTCATTTCTTTCGTAGTAAACCTTGTATTATCTCATCAAATTCCAGCTGCTATTTCTGCTGTATTGTGTGTGGTCACGGCGCGGTGATTAACAGCAGGATTCCTCTCCCTTTAAATCACAGTTATTTTTGGTGAAAACGGCATGTGTTTGGACCCTATTACCGCTGCATTCCCCCCACAGACAACACCGAGGCTGGTTAGCTTCCCTCGTTCTTGCACCACGAAGAAAAACTGTCAAAAACATATGTGCGGTTGGCTTATAAGCAGATAGCACGAGGTTAGACGGGCGGTGAGAAGAGAGAGACATCATAAAAAGGACAGCTACTAGCGCTTTTTTATATTTATTAATTTCTTTCCTCGCACGTCAGCACCAAGGAGAGCTCCCTCCCCTCTCGAGCCGTGTAGCAAACACTGCCACCTAGAGGCTGTGGTGAGGCTTGTGCTCTGTGCAAAAAGAATTGAGTGGGCGAATTCAGCAGGGAAGCTTAATCGTTTTCTGTCTCCTCCTTACAAATTATCAACATGTATGAACACACCAGGCATGAAATATACATTATGGAGGGGTTTTAAGCAGTCCGCCACGCTCCTGTTATCCTATTAATGTCAAAATGGGTGAATGTAAGAGGATGATTTATTGAAAATAATGAGAGGAATAGAGCCAAGATTCCCTGTTGAGAGAAAGCAAATGTACAGGGAGCAGATAGTGGCTGTAATTTGAGACGAAAAGGGGATAGTGAAATAGATTCGTGCAGGTTGTGTTTTGTGCTTTTACAATTGTCTCGATCCATTGTATTTAAATAGCACATTACTGCACAGATTAAAAAACACATTATAGTCTGCCAGCTTTAAAAACAAAAAAACAATCAAACAAATAACAATTCAAATCAAATAAAAGCTATTAAAATGAAATAAAAAACAATTCAAATCAAATAAAAACAATCATCTCTATAACTATATAACTATAATTAACTATGTACAGTAACTATATAAGCAGCACAGTGGTGTAGTGGTTAGCGCTTGTGCTTCACGGCAAGAAGGTTCTGAGTTTGATTCCACCTCCAAGCCTGCCTGTGTGGAGTTTGCTTGTTCTCCCGTGTCTGCGTAGGTTTCCTCCGGGCGCTCCGGTTTGCTCCTACCACTAAAAGCATGTGTAATAGATTTGCCATGCACCTCCTGTATGGCGACCCCTGCTACCATCTCTGTGTGGAGAGAGAGACAAATGCCCACAACAATTGTAAAGGTTACTTACTTACTTACTACTACTGTATGTAAATAACTCATATGTACATGACTAGGCCGGTAGCATCTGCAGTTATCTTGTGTAGCCTCAAAAACAAAGTTATGGATTTTATTATGTGGTTATATGATCTATGGCTAATAAGGCTCTTCGTTGACAACTTTCCAAAAAAAACATTCTTCAGAATGTCTGGTTTTAAAGTCATTGTGGTTGAGTGTCTTTGATGTAAGACTTGTGTGAGAAAGTGAGAAATAAGCTTCAGTGACTGTTGGAAATAGACAAAAAAATATATATGTTTTTTGACTATTTTCAAGCTGTAAATATCTTGTACAAGCCTTAATCTAGAGCCTGTGTATTCTCAACATAAGTTTAGTGTGAATCTGTTTTTCCGGACATTAAATGAGACACAAGAACACAGTAGTCTTTGTTCTATGAAAACTTTTTACTGAGGATAAGTCTGGCTCCCTGTTGCTCTTGCATAAGTCTGGTGTCTTATATCAAGGTCTCCAACACTTATCAAACACATAGACATTGAAAAAAAAATACCTATGAAATGAACACATCGATTTAACGTGGGCCATTTTAGTGTAACGGTAATGCAATTGTACTTAAGAAACAGTATTATTAACAAAAAAACTAGCAATAGAGATCAATCAAGCTCACAGTTGACACAAAAAAATAGTTCCATTTATTGCATTTCATTCGTTCGTTGAGTCCATCTGCAGTATACGTGATTCTCATACACTCATTCCCGTTGAGGTCGTCCCATCTCTGTCCAGCCACATAATTTTATTATATCTGGCCATCTCTGAGTCTTTAAATAGCCATGTGTCTGTCCTGTGTGAGCGAGAGCCAGTCCTCCCCCCACTGTTCTCCCCTCCCCATAACCTCACACTTCTGTCCCTATGCTCCAACTCACTTGACTTTTTCTCCACTACAAAACTAAAGAATGTATAGAAAAGAATATGGACATTGCTTTTTACAGCTGGGATTCAGAATAATAAATGTGTTTTTGCTTGTTTTGTTTGCTAAGATTCTTTCATTTTACTGATATTATTCAGACGATATTGATCTTTTTGTGTGTGGGACATTCAATATTATTATTATGAGTATTTCAAGCCAGACTTTTAGATTTTTTCATTGCATTACCTACTCAAAAGACGAGATAAATAAGGGAAAAAATACAGTAATAAAGTTCATTCTATAGTTATTGATTATGAACTGGGTTGTAATCTATCCAGCAACGAAAAATATTTTTTTCTTGTACACAATACAATAGATTTATTTTTGTAATTCCCTCCAATCCAGTTTATTATTCTGAATTCTAGTGTTTTTTTTTGTTTTTGTTTTTTTTTTTCCGAATTTCTCCAATTCTCTCTCGTCTCTCTCTGTCTCTCTCTATCTCCACTCCGTAAGTTGTCTCTGTGTGTGTATCCTGCTGTGTGTTTTTGTGCGTGTATTTAATGGTTGTGGTGAACTATATGCGTAGGTAAAGGTCCAGAGACTATCTTTGCCGGTTCAGCGCTCAATGATAACGAATGGCACACGGTGAGAGTGGTGCGGCGCGGAAAGAGCCTCAAACTCACAGTGGACGATCTGCAGCCGGTCGAAGGTAAACTCACAAGTCTCTTCACTGTAGCAATGTTACTGTGTACATGGGGAAAAGGTTATGTCTGTACATTCTGTGTGATCCAACCACACAACAGTCAAACATCCCACACACACAACAGTCTGAAGAAAAACTGGATGAAAATATAAAAATACATTTACACCTGAGCAGATGCAAAAGCTATTATCCATCTGCAGTCTTCAATCAAATCATAAAACAATTATAATTATACTAGAACTCCCAGAGCAATCCATTTGACGGCTTTAGCTTTGGAAGCGTAATTACACGGCATATGTACATGTTTGCTCTTCATAACTTTGTGGCTTTTTATGAGGAGTTGGTTACCATAGTTACCCTAGCACAGCAGTTAGCATGTGTTAGCTTTTAAACAAACTGTTTTTGCTGTATTTTAAGTTATATATACCAGTCTTTGCTCAATAAAAGTGAGTTAAAAAATAAAAATGATTTATTTTGGAGGAATTTCTCAGAATTCCATTGGTTTTGGAGTTTCAAAATTCTGGGAGTCTTCGTATAAAACAAGAATTGTAGATGTTAACAAAACATACAAGTCAGTTCTATAATTAGATATATTTTTTGCCTATACAGTTAAGCTTGAAAGTGTACCTACCCAGGGAGAAATGTTCTGGTTGCCAGGTTGGGTGACACAAACAGTAAATAACAAAAACTACACCTTGTCTAGACAGATAAACGTCTTTAACTTCCGCCCAAGCCTCACACGTTCAGTTTACCCAGGTCAAATGGCGGGCGACCACACGCAGCTGGAGTTTCACAACGTGGAGACGGGCATCGTGACGGAGAAACGCTTCATGCCCGCGGTCCCCTCCAACTTCATCGGGCATCTGCAGGGCCTGACGCTCAACGGCATGCCCTACATCGACCTGTGCAAGAACGGGGACATCGACTACTGCGAGCTCAACGCCGTGATCGGATACAAGTCCATCGTGGCGGACCCGGTCACGTTCAAGTCTCGCTCCAGCTTTGTGACGCTGCCCACGCTGCAGGCTTACTACTCCATGCACCTGTTCCTGCAGTTCAAGACCACCTCGCCCGACGGACTCATTCTGTACAACCGCGGGGACGGAAATGACTTCATTGTGGTGGAGCTGGTCAAAGGGTGAGTTAGCGTTAGCGTTAGCCTCATACGCACAGACCACTCCTATTATACTGCAATCTCAGCACGAGTGGAAATCTCAATACTTTGGCCATGTTCCATTATAGGAAACTTTTGAACGTCTTTTGGCTTCAGTCCTTTTTTTTTTTAAGTCCATATACCAATCTTGAACCTTGGACCACCAATTTGATAGATTAAAAAATTAATTATTGAGTTTGAAACTTCTCTCTGCTGATAACTTCCAGTCAAGATGATACATTTTCAGTTGTTATTCTTTAATTCTCAAGATTAAGGCTTGAATGTATATTTACTTTATCTTCTCTTCCTCTCCTCTCCCCTCCTCTCTCCTCTCTCCCTGTCTCTCTCCTCTCCTTTCTCCTCTCTTTCCTCTCAATTCTTTCCTCTGCCCTCCTCTCTCCTCTCCTCTCTCTCCTCCTCTCCTCTCTCCCCTACCTCCTCTTTCCCCTTCCTTTACTCTCGTTTCCTCTCCTCTCTATCTCCTCTCTCCTCTAGTAAAGTTCTAATCATACTTACACTTAAAAAATAGTTATTGCTACTTCATATTACTCTATCTTTTCTGTTTGTGTTTAATTGTATTTCTGTGTGTTTTAATCCTTTATGCCCTTACTTACTTACTAACTTGCCCCTACAAAAACAGAACTCTTCCTGTTGTTATCAGAATACAATGCGTCTTACAATAACTTTCAGATTTCTTAATAATATCAAGAGCTGCTTTCACAACATCTGCCCAATCGCATAGAAAATATAACACTAAATCTCCTGCTTGCCTCCCTATTGTGAAAGATTAGACTTTAAACTCCTTCTGGCATCCGGCCAATCTAATTTACACAACTCTCTCTCTCTCTCTCTCTCTCTCTCTCTCTCTCTCTCTCTCTTGAGTATGACTGATGCGTTTTTTCTGGACCTTCTCTCTGTCTCCATTACCTGCACTACATCTCGACCTGGGGAACGGGGCTCACCTGAAAGGTAAAGGTCACACAGAAAGAGTAGATAGCAAAATTTGGCAAATTTGTGGAAAAGTTTTGAATTGTTTTTTTCTTGACATTGATTAGGACTCAAAGTTGTTTTTAGAGGAATCCATTTACACAGCCACTGTTATTTTGGACTGTGCTCTGTTCTGCAAATTTTATTTCCTAAATCAATGATGCGCAGATGATTAGGCAGTGCTATACAATCCTTTTTGCTCTGAGGGGGTATAAAAAATCAGCTGATTGCTAACTTTCATTCATTCATTCATTCATTTATTTTCTACCCCTTAATCCATTTCTGGGTTGGAAGTTCACAGAGCACCATTTCCTGACTTTATTCTGAAATTCACCCACTGAGATTAGTCACTTTGCTTTCGTCTGTGTACCCCAGGGCAGCTATGGCTAAAAATTGAATGAATAATGCCATCAAGTTCAAGTTCATCCATCCATCCATCCATATTCTTCCTCTTAATCAATTTCTGGGTTGGGGGGTGGCAGTCAGAGCTGCCCCCAGTACACAGAGCACCAGCCCCTCACTGATCCTCCTGCAGGTGGTGAGTCCACAGGAGCCTTGATTTTTCAGCAGGAGCTTCAGGCAAAGTGTTGCCCAAGCAGACGACAGCAGTCATCAGTGGGAGTCGTGAAGTAGGTCTTGTGGTGGCTCAAACCCATGACCTTCAGGCCCAAAGGCCAATCCTCTACCATTTGAGCTACTGTCACCCCCAGTTCAAGTTATCTTTATTATCTCACTAGGGGAATTTGGTTTTGCAGCTAAAAATCTTCTAAAAACACAGTATAATCACAACATTGACGAAAACAAGAGAGGTTGTCCCAGAGCTAATTTTCAGTGCAAATATGCTGTTAAGGGCAAACATGCCATGTGCAGTATCTTTGAGAGTCCAAAAAAGTGCTATATAAAACCAAAACATTATTGCTATTATCAACACAGACTGGGGACACTATTTGACATATACACAGAGACTTCACAGACCAGAATAAATGTTTAAATAAATGTGAGAGATAGAGCTTGGGTTGTTCCAGCAGTGATTACATACAGCAGCCGTGCGTAGTCTGCGCATTAAGCCCTGAGTAGGTATTTATACAAGTGGGTCATGGTTAAGTAGTGAGGAGCGGAGGTGCCAAGTGCTGCTGCTGAGTACATTATACACACACACATATGAAATCATCTAGTCTTGGAACTGACCATTGTGCCCATCGTCAAATCTGGGTCAGTTATTCAAGAAAGGTTTGAAAAGAAACACAAGAACACACAAAAGAGATATTTGGTTTTTTTACACTCAAAAGTAAAATAATAAATATCAGTTCTGTTTAATTTGGGTTCTTCATTTTCAAACCACAAAAAATAACACAATAAATCAGACTTGTTTTTTTTTTTACATTTTTAGTTTTCACATGCATGTATTTTTGGTCTCTGCCACATTTTTTAGACGAAACAGGAAAAAAGAGAGGACCAGCCTAAAAAGTCTAATATAATACTCCCCGTTGTCTTTCTGTTCGTTGGTTAGCAAGACAACACAACATTATGGGATTTTTTTTACTATTTTCTTTGCAAATCTCAGAAATATGACAGGGAACAAATATTACGTTGGATCTGGATCAGTGTCTGTAATTAGGACTGTATTTATGAGAGTGTTAGCTTTTAGCACAGAAGAGTCTGATTAGAGCTAACAGGCTTTGAGGCTGAACGTGGAGCCAAATGTGTGTTCCCAAATTACCAAGTGCCAATCAGGAGCCGCGCTGGTTTGTCCCCGATCGCGTTACTCGCCAGCCGAAGCCAAAATCATCCACAGAAGGTTACTGATTGGACAATTGAAAGGGCTCATATCTGGATGTAAAAAGACAATATCAAAGTCAGAAGGCAAAATTTATCTTTTTTTGAGCAAATTTTTGACTACCTTAAAACAGGATTTACCAATGGGACGAAGCAAAATAATCTTGTTTTAAAATGATTAAGCAACAATCTTGAAATGAGACTAAATGGCTTTGTCCCGTTGACAAATCTTGTTTTAAGACCTATTCACAAAACACTAAAATCAAGCATTTATTACCTCATTTTTGATCACTTTTTGCAGTGTATGTATTAGGTTTGCGTACTGTACGTGTGGATAGGAGAGTCTCTGCTTGGACTGCTGACCCGGCAACGGATAAAGCGGAAGAAAATGGATGTATGGATGTTCGTATTGGAAAGAGGAAAAACAAAACCATTGAACAAAGGGTCATACTGTTTACACGACTCATAACTAGCTCAGTGATCGTCCTATTTTTACAAACGCATGGTAATTTCAGCCTGGATTTTTCTAATTCCGGGAACGGATAAAACACATATGCTACTTTCTTGTAATGCGATGCTAATATATGCACATAGCATCCAGCGTTATGTAATTGAAGAATGGGCTTCCTCTCGCGCTTTTGCTGCCGAGCCGTTTCTTACATGAACTGCTTTGACACATCAGCGGAATGACTAATTGATTAATTGAGAAACTAATCAGCGGGATTATCAATAGTGACAATGGTCATTAGGGGCTGACAAAATGGCCGCTTAGCCTCGCTGCGTCTTTGATCATGGAGCGGGAAGTTAATCTTTAAGTTGTTCAGTGAGAAAATGGCCCAGAGGCTGGAATCGATTACGCTAAGAAGGAATATGGAAAAAACGGTGCATTCATTTAAAGACAAATAATGTGCTTTTTCTTTGGTATTTTCGGATGTTTTCAATGAAGTCTGCTCTCTTCTTTGTTCTCTCCTTTCTCCTGTCCATTCTCTTTTCTGCTCTCCTCTCTCCTCTTCTTCTCCTCTTGTCTCCTCTCTTAACTGGTCTCCTTTATCTTTTCTACTCTCCTCTCCTATCTCCTCTTTTCTCACCTCCTGTCTCTCTCCTCTCCTCTCTCCTTTCCTCTCTTCTCTTCTTTCCTCTCCCCACTCCTCTGCTTTCCCACTCCTCTCCTCTCTCTCCCATCTCCTCTCCTCTATCCTCTTTCTCTTCTCTCCTCACCTCCACTCTCTCCTCATTCTCCTCTCTCCTCTCCTCTTTGATTCTCTCTCCACTACTCTCCTCTCCTATCCCCTCTCCTCTGTGCTCTTCTCGTCCCTCTCCTCCCCTCTTCTCTCCTCTCCACAATTCTCTCCTCTCTTTTCTCTCTTCTCCTCTCCTCTCTTTCTCCTCTCTCCTCTCTCCTCTCTTTCTTCTCTCTCCTCTCTCCTCTCCTCTTCTCTCTCCTCTCTCCTCTTCTCTCTCCTCTCTCCTCTTCTCTCCTCCTCTCTCCTCTCTCCTCTCTCCTCTCCTCCTCTCCTCTTCTCTCTCCTCGCTCCTATCTCCTTTAGTGAAGTTCGACTCTCACTTACGTAGAGCTTTCAACGTTGTTCATATTTATAGATGTTTAAAATACATTTTTAAAGGTCACATTTTGACAGATTTGAAGCCAGCTGTCCTTTCTGTCTGACCACTCAGCAGCAAGTGGGCAACAGATATGATTCACTGTATGCAACATTTGGTATGAAAATTACTCGCCACGATGCAAGAAAAATGTTGCTCTCTTCTCCCATAGAATATCACTCTTTGAAATTTGCTTTTTCTGAGATAAGCCACTCAGGTGAAAATGCAAAGAAGGAAATCAGGAAAGCAGAAGGAACGGGATATTGGTTATGAATTCAGATGCAGCCTCAAATCAAAGTACACAAACTATGCATTTTATAAACACATTTTATTGTTTTAGCTCCATCTACGCTAATATGAGAAACACAAATTGGCACGTATGTTTTATTGATTGCATTAATTTAACCCGGCAAGTCCCACTCAGTCTTTTAGAATGTCGTTTTCAGGGAAGTCCTGGCCCCAGAGAGAAGGGGGCAGGACTTGGGTCAGGGGGGGTATTACAGGGGACTATTGTACATATTCATATTTATATATTGTGTGCAAACTCCACACAGAAGAGCCCTGTCTGGAGACATTGTACTGTAATTAAATAAATGTTCTTTCTATAATGTCAGATGCTTAGAGCTGATTGGCTGAGTGAGGGTGGTCCTCTCTTTTTCACTGTTCTGCCTGAAAGAGCTGATCTAAAGCTAGAACTAAACTGTTTTGAGAGCAAGAAACTAGTTAGATAGATGGATTGTATGTTTGCTTGTAAACTATTCCAAATTCATCTAATACATAATATAACTCTGGCCTTTTCTCGTTGTGCAGGTGACTTGTACATCGGTGGCGTTTCCAAGGAGATGTACCGGGACCTGCCCAAGCTGGTGCACTCTCGAGAGGGCTTCCAGGGCTGCCTCGCCACCGTGGACCTGAACGGGCGCCTTCCGGACCTCCTGGCCGACGCTTTAGCCACCGTGGGACAAGTGGAGAGAGGATGTGAAGGTAAAACACATGCGTTTGATACAGGCTGCTACTACCACCACTACTACTACATACACTGTTAAAAGACATCATTGGTAATGTTTTGTTACTCAGTATTTGAAGTTCTTCAGAGTCTCCAGTTAATTCCCACAAAAATATATATTCGGTTTATGTCATTTTTAAGATTTTATTTCCACAAACTTTTTGGCTTTAGTTGTGTAAAGAAGCTGTTTGAAATTGGGTCAAACATTTTGGGAATACTTCCAATACTTCTCAATAAATTTGGATGGAATTCTGGCCCATTCTTCCTACCATAAAAATCATTACACATCATTTGTTTTATGTAGACAAATTGAGACATTCTCTAGGTTTTATTTAAATATAAAACAGATAGAAGCGAGATAGATTGAAAAGTGTTGGATTCAATGCAAGCCCATTGAACGAGCCCATCATCGTATCTATCACTTTCTTGTAGCTCAGGTACAGTGTGACTCATTCAATCATTTTATTTTGAAATTAACTCACTAACAGCTTATTTTATTTTGTCACGTCCATCTTCGTCCTCGTCCCATCTCTTCTGCTCCTGACTAACCATCTAACCGGCTTGTCTGCTTTTTCATTTGGCTGGCTAAAGTTTCATTGATGAAAGCTGACTTGCAAGGTATATCTTTGCATGAGAGAAATATTTTAAAAAAGGCTGTCTGTGTTAAAAAAAAAACCTAACTCCCCCTTTAAATTCATGTTGTGTGAGAGATCCGCAGTGATATGTCCGCTCCCAGCCACCGTAGTGACGTGAGACATGGCATGTAACGTGACCCCTGAGTGAAAATCAATACTCAATTCGTTTTTTTTATTTCAACTTTGCCTTCCCCTTGTGTGCTTTCAAACACAAGAAATGGCATTTGGAGTATTGAGATAACACAACTTGTTTATATTTTCAATTTCTCTTGTTCCTAACCCAGCCATTCAACTTCACCCGCATGTGTTTTTCAATTATTTTGCTTTTTTGCAGTGATAACCACTCTTTGTAATGTCAATTCAGGGAGATTTTTGCTACTGTTTTGGTAATAACAACCAAATGTGAGATATGATAGATTCCAGTGGACTTCATGAGGTAAGCTGAGAGATACAACATGGACCAGATCAAAAGTGCCGGTAGAGCGAATCTTTTTGGAGATTTAAGATTAAGAGATCCTTTATTAATTCCACAGTGGGGAAATTTCAGTTTTGCATCACCCGTTATAGAACAAGATAAATGGACGATAACTCTATACAGAATAAAATACAATTAAATCTGTAACTTTAGCATAATAAATAAGCAAGTATAAAATCACTGACTTAAGCATAATGTACTGTAGGAGCAAGTATAGAATTTCTATCTTTATCATAGTGAAGAAGCAAGAATTAAGTTTAAAAAAGGCACATTTGATGGAGACAAGTGAAGTTAATGAGCTTGTCAATCCTTCCAGACATTTTCCAACAATGTTTTTCCTCTTCATTTTTCACCGCGACAGTTTTAGCAACAAAACGCCACGTCAAGGCTTTTTCTTTTCCACAAGCAAAAGATAAATTATGCATTTACTGTAAGCTTTGCAATACTCGGATTACTCTGGTATGATAGCACTAAGGAGACATGGTCAATACACATCTCTACCACCTTTACTCTCGGGCTCCCAGAATTCTGAAAGTACCAAGAACTCCCAGAGCAGTCATTTTAACGGCTCCCATTTAAGTTAATGGAATTTCTGAAATTCCATTAAGAAAAAAAAAGGCTTTTATTCAGTATTTTTCTTGAATACATGCAGTAATAAAAATGAAATACAACCAAAACTAAATGCTAACTGCTGCAAGTAAACAGTTTGTTGCTATGGTAACTAGCAAGGTGAGATGGCTCTGAACTAGGTTTTCTGTCTTAAAAAGCGGATCTAAAAATGTGATAGAAAAGACTAGAACAAGGAACTAGTTAGATGGATCGTATTACATCGTTCCATTTTTGTTGTTTAAAAGTTAGGTACCCCAGCGTATCGACCATAACTTTTCTTGTGAACTTTTTATCCTTCCTCCTCTATACTGTCTACAAATCTTGTTATCATCTTTGTATTAAACGCTGTATAAATCCCCAATGGGGTCCAGACCAAAGACGCCGCTAAGCCTTTCTCCTGCGTGTGTGAATCTTATCTCGGTCTTGGGCTCTGAACAAAATGGATAATAATGTGGTTTTATCTGTTTTTAAACTCACCTCGTCCTCCTCTGCCCTCCTCTGCTCTCCAGGCCCCAGCACAACCTGTCAGGAGGACTCGTGCTCCAACCAGGGCGTGTGTCTGCAGCAGTGGGAGGGCTTCACCTGTGACTGCAGCATGACCTCATACGCTGGGCCTCTGTGCAACGACGGTGAGAACACATCACAGATTCAAGCAGAAAATCCTTTATCTTTCCTACATACCTTCCTTCCTACTTACCTATCTATCTATCCATCCATCAATCTTGCTATCTATCCACCTACCTATTAATCTGCTTCCTTTCTACCTACTTAGCTCCCTATCTCCCTCCCTCCCTACCTATCTCTCTATTTATCTATCTATCTATCTATCTATCAATCTTGCTATCTATCCACCTACCTATTAATCTACCTAGCTTCCTTTCTACCTACTTATCTCTCTATCTATCAATAAATCAATCCATCTATCTATCTATCAATCTTCTATCCATCCACCTACCTATTTATCTACCTAGCTTCCTTTCTACCTACCTCCCTCCCTCCCTACCTATCTCCCTATCTATCAATCTTGCCATATATCTATCTATCTAGTTTAGGAAGGTTCATTGTGTCTTCTTGGTAGAAATGAAGGTATTTGGTTCTTTTATAGCAGACAATAGTAAGTTAGCGATGTTATTACCTTTACATGTTTCAACGGTATACTTCTTTCTATCTATATCTATCTTTCATAGCTTTTAGGAGCGCTGAAATAATCCAGAGAGCCTGTATTATTACATTGGGGTAAAGTCAAGCTAAACAATGGTTAGATTATAGATTGTAGTCATAGATTACATTTTAGACCTGGGAAAACATTTAGTCTTTTCCTTGCTCCTGACCTTGAACTGAAATACACTTCACCAGGAACCTATTGATAAAATATGGCCGTCAAACTCAAATAAATGTATAATATCCCAGTGGGAATTTCAAGCTAACATAAAAAATAGTTTAAAGATAGCAAAAAAAGTTAATTGTGAGCTGGCGTGTCCAAACAACTCAGCATTTATCCCGCCTTTGACTTAGTCCTTTTGCCGTGGCGGTTTCAGTGTGAATATTGCTGTAATGTACATTTCTCCATTGTGAGATCAATAAAGTTATCTTATCTTATTTTATAGTATGTAGACAGCAATGAAAATGGTGAAAAGCCAACACGGGTCCAAACAGCACACCCACCTTTCCCACCGATGTCTTGTGTTGCCAGACCAGTGAAAAAAAGCCTTAAGAATTAGAATCGACACAAATCAAGACAAGGTTCTGTTTGGTTTTATTGTCAACTTTAAGCCTAGAACCAGAATGCTATCTATAAGGGCTTTAAGGTTGTCTCGGTAACAGACTGGAACATATACAGTGCTATTATATTACAGACAACAGCTTTGCCTGGAGAACACCATGTGGATTGCATTTCTGGAACCGCAAATGAAATGTCCGTGTCTCAGGCTCCCATCAGTCACAGTCTGTGTTGTGTCGGAGCTGCCACGGGAGGGCACTGGCATCTGTCCGATCTGACGAGACCAAAGAGCAGTGAGAAATGTGGCATTTGACAAAAGCAGGTTCTCTGTGGAAGGAAGCGAAACCCACGGATTGGGATTAAACTGTATCAAAAATGTGTAGGATTGTGTGCAGTATTTTAATCGTAGTAGTAGTGTTTTGGGAGTCTGTAGAAAGGAGGAATTGGTTATTATTATTGTTGTTTTGTTTTTTCACACCACAAAGAAATAGCCTGAAAACCAGAAATAAAACCCAGACTAGAACTAGACCAACTGAATGCAGGAGGTGAGTAAATATGAATTAGTAATATTACAACTCACAGTTTAAAGATTAGACAACTTTAAACTAAAAACATTCATTAAGCTATGAGCCAAATGACCCATGATAGCAGAGATATTCCGGGGTCAATATTTAGATTTTTTCCTTTTGAATATATTACATTTTGAGCAGGAGAATACCTTGAGAGATATTAGTAGTCATAGTCATAGCAGTAGTAGTAGTAGTATTTGTTGAAGTAATAGTAGTTGTTGTAGAAGTAGTAGTAATAGTATTGATTTATTTCAAACTTATGGACACAAAAATGAACATGTATACTGAAATACACAGTTTGAAAAGAGGTTGTGACGAGAGGTCCGCCTCACTCAACACAACACACACACGCACACACGCACTCAGACAAGACACACCAGCCCGAACACTCTCCGAACCTACACCTCTCTCATATCTTTCTCTCTCCATTTTTTTCAGTACTTTTTTGAACAGAATGAAATTATTGAATTAATCCGGTGAATTATTCCAAAGGGTAATGTCTGAGGTTACCCATTGGACGGCTGCAATTTGTATAAAATGCTATGTTTGGATTATTTTATTGTTTTAACGGTATCTTTGACATGCTTTCATAGCCTCCCATCCCTACAAGCACACAGGCAGAGTTCATCACATGCTTGTCTCTCTGTCTCCAGCTGGGACGACCTACATCTTCGGTCGCGACGGCGGCGTGGTCATCTACACCTGGCCTCCGAACGAGAGGCCCAGCACCCGAGCGGACCGGCTGGCTCTGGGCTTCAGCACCCAGCAGAAAAACGCCATCCTCCTCAGAGTGGACAGCGCATCAGGACTGGGAGACTACTTACAGCTGCAGATAGTAAGTACTGGAGGTTTGAACACAATGGACGAGAGGAGAGATATCATGGCACCATTTTATATTTGTATTGTTACAGGTTAGGACGCACTCCCGCTTTCCATTTCAGAGGTGTCCAAACCGGTCCAGATAGGGCTGCTGTGGCTGCAGGTTTTCTATCAGACCCAGCAGGACCAGAACAGACTCCACCCACTTCCTCAAGTTAATTTAGTCTTAACCTGAAGATTTGAGGAAATGGGAGGATTCTGCTCTGCTCCTGCTGGGTCTGATAGAAAACCTGCAGCCACAGCGGCCCTTTTTGGACCGGTTTGAACACCTCTGATTTAAGTAGTGGTGCACTTTGGGCTCAAAATTTAAAGCTAATTAGAGGGAAATATCTGCTTTTCAGTTCAGTCTGTATAAGTGATGTCATAAGGACTGGACAGCCTATCACATGCTCTTATGTTCTTTTGATTTGGTGTCTTCTGTTTGTTCAACTTATATGTCCATTACATTCAAAACACAGATCAGCTACAGTTCATTTGTTGGTAAGTGTGTAGATTTAGCCTTTTTTAACTACATTTGTAAACTAGAGAAATTATAATCACGATAAGCACTTTTTCTTTAACTAAAAAAAACTTGTATCACTATCTATTATAATTTCTCTAGTTTACAAATGTAGTTAAAAAAGGCTAAATCTACACACTTACCAACAAATGAACTGTAGCTGATCTGTGTTTTGAATGTAATGGACATATAAGTTGAACAAACAGAAGACACCAAATCAAAAGAACATAAGAGCATGTGATAGGCTGTCCAGTCCTTATGACATCACTTATACAGACTGAACTGAAAAGCAGATATTTCCCTCTAATTAGCTTTAAATTTTGAGCCCAAAGTGCACCACTACTTAAATCAGAGGTGTTCAAACCGGTCCAAAAAGGGCCGCTGTGGCTGCAGGTTTTCTATCAGACCCAGCAGGAGCAGAGCAGAATCCTCCCATTTCCTCAAATCTTCAGGTTAAGACTAAATTAACTTGAGGAAGTGGGTGGAGTCTGTTCTGGTCCTGCTGGGGTCTGATAGAAAACCTGCAGCCACAGCAGCCCTATCTGGACCGGTTTGGACACCTCTGAAATGGAAAGCGGGAGTGCGTCCTAACCTGTAACAATACAAATATAAAATGGTGCCATGATATCTCTCCTCTCGTCCATTGTGTTCAAACCTCCAGTACTTACTATCTGCAGCTGTAAGTAGTCTCCCAGTCCTGATGCGCTGTCCACTCTGAGGAGGATGGCGTTTTTCTGCTGGGTGCTGAAGCCCAGAGCCAGCCGGTCCGCTCGGGTGCTGGGCCTCTCGTTCGGAGGCCAGGTGTAGATGACCACGCCGCCGTCGCGACCGAAGATGTAGCGACCCAGCTGGAGACAGAGAGACAAGCATGTGTGTCCTGCCTGTGTGCTTGTGGGGATGGGAGGCTTATAAAGCAGAGACAATAAAATAATCCATGTTTTATACAAATTGCAGCCGTGAACCTCAGACATTACCCTGGAATAATTCCCCGGATTAATTCAATAATTTCATTCTGTTCAAAAAAGTACTGAAAAAAATGGAGAGAGAAAGATATGAGCTAGGTGTAGGTGAAAGTGTTCGGGCTGGTGTGTCTTGTCTGAGTGCGTGTGTGCGTGTGTGTGTTGTGTTGAGTGAGGCGGACCTCTCGTCACAACCTCTTTTCAAACTGTGTATTTCAGTATACATGTTCATTTTTGTGTCCATAGTTTGAAATAAATCAATACTATTACTACTACTTCTACAACAACTACTATTACTTCAACAAATACTACTACTACTACTGCTATGACTATGACTACTAATATCTCTCAAGGTATTCTCCTGCTCAAAATGTAATATATTCAAAAGGAAAAAAATCTAAATATTGACCCCGGAATATCTCTGCTATCATGGGTCATTTGGCTCATAGCTTAATGAATGTTTTTAGTTTAAAGTTGTCTAATCTTTAAACTGTGAGTTGTAATATTACTAATTCATATTTACTCACCTCCTGCATTCAGTTGGTCTAGTTCTAGTCTGGGTTTTATTTCTGGTTTTCAGGCTATTTCTTTGTGGTGTGAAAAAACAAAACAACAATAATAATATACCAATTCCTCCTTTCTACAGTACTCCCAAAACTCACTACTACTACGATTACTGCACACAATCCTACACATTTTTGATACAGTTTAATCCCAATCCGTGGGTTTCGCTTCCTTCCACAGAGAACCTGCTTTTGTCAAATGCCACATTTCTCACTGCTCTTTGGTCTCGTCAGATCGGACAGATGCCAGTGCCCTCCCGTGGCAGCTCCGACACAACACAGACTGTGACTGATGGGAGCCTGAGACACGACATTTCATTTGCGGTTCCAGAAATGCAATCCACGTGGTGTTCTCCAGGCAAAGCTGTTGTCTGTAATTTAATAGCACTGTATATGTTCCAGTCTGTTACCGAGACACCTTAAAGCCCTTATAGATAGCATCTGGTTCTAGGCTTAAAGTTGACAATAAAACCAACAGAACCTTGTCTTGATTGGTGTCGATTCTAATTCTAAAAGGCTGTTTTTCACTGGTCTGGCAACACAAGACATCGGTGGGAAAGGTGGGTGTGCTGTTTGGACCCGTGTTGGCTTTTCACCATTTTCATTGCTGTCTACATACTATAAAATAAGATAAGATAACTTTATTGATCTCACAATGGAGAAATGTACATCACAGCAATATTCACACTGAAACCGCCACGGCAAAAGGACTAAGTCAAAGGCGGGATAAATGCTGAGTTGTTTGGACACGCCAGCTCACAATTAACTTTTTTTGCTATCTTTAAACTATTTTTTATGTTAGCTTGGAATTCCCACTGGGATATTACACATTTATTTGAGTTTGACGGCCATATTTTATCAATAGGTTCCTGGTGAAGTGTATTTCAGTTCAAGGTCAGGAGCAAGGAAAAGACTAAATGTTTTCCCAGGTCTAAAATGTAATCTATGACTACAATCTATAATCTAACCATTGTTTAGCTTGACTTTACCCCAATGTTATAATACAGGCTCTCTGGAATATTTCAGCACCCCTAAAAGCTATGAAAGATAGATATAGATAGAAAGAAGTATACCGTTGAAACATGTAAAGGTAATAACATCGCTAACTTACTATTGTCTGCTATAAAAGAACCAAATACCTTCATTTCTACCAAGAAGACACAATGAACCTTCCTAAACTAGATAGATAGATATATAGCAAGATTGATAGATAGGGAGATAGGTAGGGAGGGAGGGAGGTAGGTAGAAAGGAAGCTAGGTAGATAAATAGGTAGGTGGATGGATAGAAGATTGATAGATAGATAGATGGATTGATTTATTGATAGATAGAGAGATAAGTAGGTAGAAAGGAAGCTAGGTAGATTAACAGGTAGGTGGATAGATAGCAAGATTGATAGATTGATAGATAGATAGATAGATAAATAGAGAGATAGGTAGGGAGGGAGGGAGATAGGGAGCTAAGTAGGTAGAAAGGAAGCAGATTAATAGGTAGGTGGATAGATAGCAAGATTGATGGATGGATAGATAGATAGGTAAGTAGGAAGGAAGGTATGTAGGAAAGATAAAGGATTTTCTGCTTGAATCTGTGATGTGTTCTCACCGTCGTTGCACAGAGGCCCAGCGTATGAGGTCATGCTGCAGTCACAGGTGAAGCCCTCCCACTGCTGCAGACACACGCCCTGGTTGGAGCACGAGTCCTCCTGACAGGTTGTGCTGGGGCCTGGAGAGCAGAGGAGGGCAGAGGAGGACGAGGTGAGTTTAAAAACAGATAAAACCACATTATTATCCATTTTGTTCAGAGCCCAAGACCGAGATAAGATTCACACACGCAGGAGAAAGGCTTAGCGGCGTCTTTGGTCTGGACCCCATTGGGGATTTATACAGCGTTTAATACAAAGATGATAACAAGATTTGTAGACAGTATAGAGGAGGAAGGATAAAAAGTTCACAAGAAAAGTTATGGTCGATACGCTGGGGTACCTAACTTTTAAACAACAAAAATGGAACGATGTAATACGATCCATCTAACTAGTTCCTTGTTCTAGTCTTTTCTATCACATTTTTAGATCCGCTTTTTAAGACAGAAAACCTAGTTCAGAGCAATCTCACCTTGGTAGTTACCATAGCAACAAACTGTTTACTTGCAGCAGTTAGCATTTAGTTTTGGTTGTATTTCATTTTTATTACTGCATGTATTCAAGAAAAATACTGAATAAAAGCCATTTTTTTTTCTTAATGGAATTTCTTAATGGAATTTCAGAAATTCCATTAACTTAAATGCGAGCTGTTAAAATGACTGCTCTGGGAGTTCTTGGTACTTTCAGAATTCTGGGAGCCCGAGAGTAAAGGTGGTAGAGATGTGTATTGACCATGTCTCCTTAGTGCTATCATACCAGAGTAATCCGAGTATTGCAAAGCTTACAGTAAATGCATAATTTATCTTTTGCTTGTGGAAAAGAAAAAGCCTTGACGTGGCGTTTTGTTGCTAAAACTGTCGACGCGGTGAAAAATGAAGAGGAAAAACATTGTTGGAAAATGTCTGGAAGGATTGACAAGCTCATTAACTTCACTTGTCTCCATCAAATGTGGCTTTTTTATACTTCATTCTTGCTTCTTCACTATGATAAAGATAGAAATTCTATACTTGCTCCTACAGTACATTATGCTTAAGTCAGTGATTTTATACTTGCTTATTTATTATGCTAAAGTTACAGATTTAATTGTATTTTATTCTGTATAGAGTTATCGTTCATTTATCTTGTTCTATAACGGGTGATGCAAAACTGAAATTTCCCCACTGTGGAATTAATAAAGGATCTCTTAATCTTAAATCTCCAAAAAGATTCGCTCTACCGGGACTTTTGATCTGGTCCATGTTGTATCTCTCAGCTTACCTCATGAAGTCCACTGGAATCTATCATATCTCACATTTGGTTGTTATTACCAAAACAGTAGCAAAAATCTCCCTGAATTGACATTACAAAGAGTGGTTATCACTGCAAAAAAGCAAAATAATTGAAAAACACATGCGGGTGAAGTTGAATGGCTGGGTTAGGAACAAGAGAAATTGAAAATATAAACAAGTTGTGTTATCTCAATACTCCAAATGCCATTTCTTGTGTTTGAAAGCACACAAGGGGAAGGCAAAGTTGAAATAAAAAAAACGAATTGAGTATTGATTTTCACTCAGGGGTCACGTTACATGCCATGTCTCACGTCACTACGGTGGCTGGGAGCGGACATATCACTGCGGATCTCTCACACAACATGAATTTAAAGGGGGAGTTAGGTTTTTTTTTTAACACAGACAGCCTTTTTTAAAATATTTCTCTCATGCAAAGATATACCTTGCAAGTCAGCTTTCATCAATGAAACTTTAGCCAGCCAAATGAAAAAGCAGACAAGCCGGTTAGATGGTTAGTCAGGAGCAGAAGAGATGGGACGAGGACGAAGATGGACGTGACAAAATAAAATAAGCTGTTAGTGAGTTAATTTCAAAATAAAATGATTGAATGAGTCACACTGTACCTGAGCTACAAGAAAGTGATAGATACGATGATGGGCTCGTTCAATGGGCTTGCATTGAATCCAACACTTTTCAATCTATCTCGCTTCTATCTGTTTTATATTTAAATAAAACCTAGAGAATGTCTCAATTTGTCTACATAAAACAAATGATGTGTAATGATTTTTATGGTAGGAAGAATGGGCCAGAATTCCATCCAAATTTATTGAGAAGTATTGGAAGTATTCCCAAAATGTTTGACCCAATTTCAAACAGCTTCTTTACACAACTAAAGCCAAAAAGTTTGTGGAAATAAAATCTTAAAAATGACATAAACCGAATATATATTTTTGTGGGAATTAACTGGAGACTCTGAAGAACTTCAAATACTGAGTAACAAAACATTACCAATGATGTCTTTTAACAGTGTATGTAGTAGTAGTGGTGGTAGTAGCAGCCTGTATCAAACGCATGTGTTTTACCTTCACATCCTCTCTCCACTTGTCCCACGGTGGCTAAAGCGTCGGCCAGGAGGTCCGGAAGGCGCCCGTTCAGGTCCACGGTGGCGAGGCAGCCCTGGAAGCCCTCTCGAGAGTGCACCAGCTTGGGCAGGTCCCGGTACATCTCCTTGGAAACGCCACCGATGTACAAGTCACCTGCACAACGAGAAAAGGCCAGAGTTATATTATGTATTAGATGAATTTGGAATAGTTTACAAGCAAACATACAATCCATCTATCTAACTAGTTTCTTGCTCTCAAAACAGTTTAGTTCTAGCTTTAGATCAGCTCTTTCAGGCAGAACAGTGAAAAAGAGAGGACCACCCTCACTCAGCCAATCAGCTCTAAGCATCTGACATTATAGAAAGAACATTTATTTAATTACAGTACAATGTCTCCAGACAGGGCTCTTCTGTGTGGGAGTTTGCACACAATATATAAATATGAATATGTACAATAGTCCCCTGTAATACCCCCCCTGACCCAAGTCCTGCCCCCTTCTCTCTGGGGCCAGGACTTCCCTGAAAACGACATTCTAAAAGACTGAGTGGGACTTGCCGGGTTAAATTAATGCAATCAATAAAACATACGTGCCAATTTGTGTTTCTCATATTAGCGTAGATGGAGCTAAAACAATAAAATGTGTTTATAAAATGCATAGTTTGTGTACTTTGATTTGAGGCTGCATCTGAATTCATAACCAATATCCCGTTCCTTCTGCTTTCCTGATTTCCTTCTTTGCATTTTCACCTGAGTGGCTTATCTCAGAAAAAGCAAATTTCAAAGAGTGATATTCTATGGGAGAAGAGAGCAACATTTTTCTTGCATCGTGGCGAGTAATTTTCATACCAAATGTTGCATACAGTGAATCATATCTGTTGCCCACTTGCTGCTGAGTGGTCAGACAGAAAGGACAGCTGGCTTCAAATCTGTCAAAATGTGACCTTTAAAAATGTATTTTAAACATCTATAAATATGAACAACGTTGAAAGCTCTACGTAAGTGAGAGTCGAACTTCACTAAAGGAGATAGGAGCGAGGAGAGAGAAGAGGAGAGGAGGAGAGGAGAGAGGAGAGAGGAGAGAGGAGGAGAGAGAGAGGAGAGAGGAGAGAGAAGAGGAGAGAGGAGAGAGAGAGAGAGAGGAGAGAGGAGAGAGAAGAAAGAGAGGAGAGAGGAGAGAGGAGAAAGAGAGGAGAGGAGAAGAGAGAAAAGAGAGGAGAGAATTGTGGAGAGGAGAGAAGAGGGGAGGAGAGGGACGAGAAGAGGACAGAGGAGAGGGGATAGGAGAGGAGAGTAGTGGAGAGAGAATCAAAGAGGAGAGGAGAGAGGAGAATGAGGAGAGAGTGGAGGTGAGGAGAGAAGAGAAAGAGGATAGAGGAGAGGAGATGGGAGAGAGAGGAGAGGAGTGGGAAAGCAGAGGAGTGGGGAGAGGAAAGAAGAGAAGAGAGGAAAGGAGAGAGGAGAGGAGAGAGACAGGAGGTGAGAAAAGAGGAGATAGGAGAGGAGAGTAGAAAAGATAAAGGAGACCAGTTAAGAGAGGAGACAAGAGGAGAAGAAGAGGAGAGAGGAGAGCAGAAAAGAGAATGGACAGGAGAAAGGAGAGAACAAAGAAGAGAGCAGACTTCATTGAAAACATCCGAAAATACCAAAGAAAAAGCACATTATTTGTCTTTAAATGAATGCACCGTTTTTTCCATATTCCTTCTTAGCGTAATCGATTCCAGCCTCTGGGCCATTTTCTCACTGAACAACTTAAAGATTAACTTCCCGCTCCATGATCAAAGACGCAGCGAGGCTAAGCGGCCATTTTGTCAGCCCCTAATGACCATTGTCACTATTGATAATCCCGCTGATTAGTTTCTCAATTAATCAATTAGTCATTCCGCTGATGTGTCAAAGCAGTTCATGTAAGAAACGGCTCGGCAGCAAAAGCGCGAGAGGAAGCCCATTCTTCAATTACATAACGCTGGATGCTATGTGCATATATTAGCATCGCATTACAAGAAAGTAGCATATGTGTTTTATCCGTTCCCGGAATTAGAAAAATCCAGGCTGAAATTACCATGCGTTTGTAAAAATAGGACGATCACTGAGCTAGTTATGAGTCGTGTAAACAGTATGACCCTTTGTTCAATGGTTTTGTTTTTCCTCTTTCCAATACGAACATCCATACATCCATTTTCTTCCGCTTTATCCGTTGCCGGGTCAGCAGTCCAAGCAGAGACTCTCCTATCCACACGTACAGTACGCAAACCTAATACATACACTGCAAAAAGTGATCAAAAATGAGGTAATAAATGCTTGATTTTAGTGTTTTGTGAATAGGTCTTAAAACAAGATTTGTCAACGGGACAAAGCCATTTAGTCTCATTTCAAGATTGTTGCTTAATCATTTTAAAACAAGATTATTTTGCTTCGTCCCATTGGTAAATCCTGTTTTAAGGTAGTCAAAAATTTGCTCAAAAAAAGATAAATTTTGCCTTCTGACTTTGATATTGTCTTTTTACATCCAGATATGAGCCCTTTCAATTGTCCAATCAGTAACCTTCTGTGGATGATTTTGGCTTCGGCTGGCGAGTAACGCGATCGGGGACAAACCAGCGCGGCTCCTGATTGGCACTTGGTAATTTGGGAACACACATTTGGCTCCACGTTCAGCCTCAAAGCCTGTTAGCTCTAATCAGACTCTTCTGTGCTAAAAGCTAACACTCTCATAAATACAGTCCTAATTACAGACACTGATCCAGATCCAACGTAATATTTGTTCCCTGTCATATTTCTGAGATTTGCAAAGAAAATAGTAAAAAAAATCCCATAATGTTGTGTTGTCTTGCTAACCAACGAACAGAAAGACAACGGGGAGTATTATATTAGACTTTTTAGGCTGGTCCTCTCTTTTTTCCTGTTTCGTCTAAAAAATGTGGCAGAGACCAAAAATACATGCATGTGAAAACTAAAAATGTAAAAAAAAAACAAGTCTGATGGATTTATTGTGTTATTTTTTGTGGTTTGAAAATGAAGAACCCAAATTAAACAGAACTGATATTTATTATTTTACTTTTGAGTGTAAAAAAACCAAATATCTCTTTTGTGTGTTCTTGTGTTTCTTTTCAAACCTTTCTTGAATAACTGACCCAGATTTGACGATGGGCACAATGGTCAGTTCCAAGACTAGATGATTTCATATGTGTGTGTGTATAATGTACTCAGCAGCAGCACTTGGCACCTCCGCTCCTCACTACTTAACCATGACCCACTTGTATAAATACCTACTCAGGGCTTAATGCGCAGACTACGCACGGCTGCTGTATGTAATCACTGCTGGAACAACCCAAGCTCTATCTCTCACATTTATTTAAACATTTATTCTGGTCTGTGAAGTCTCTGTGTATATGTCAAATAGTGTCCCCAGTCTGTGTTGATAATAGCAATAATGTTTTGGTTTTATATAGCACTTTTTTGGACTCTCAAAGATACTGCACATGGCATGTTTGCCCTTAACAGCATATTTGCACTGAAAATTAGCTCTGGGACAACCTCTCTTGTTTTCGTCAATGTTGTGATTATACTGTGTTTTTAGAAGATTTTTAGCTGCAAAACCAAATTCCCCTAGTGAGATAATAAAGATAACTTGAACTGGGGGTGACAGTAGCTCAAATGGTAGAGGATTGGCCTTTGGGCCTGAAGGTCATGGGTTTGAGCCACCACAAGACCTACTTCACGACTCCCACTGATGACTGCTGTCGTCTGCTTGGGCAACACTTTGCCTGAAGCTCCTGCTGAAAAATCAAGGCTCCTGTGGACTCACCACCTGCAGGAGGATCAGTGAGGGGCTGGTGCTCTGTGTACTGGGGGCAGCTCTGACTGCCACCCCCCAACCCAGAAATTGATTAAGAGGAAGAATATGGATGGATGGATGGATGAACTTGAACTTGATGGCATTATTCATTCAATTTTTAGCCATAGCTGCCCTGGGGTACACAGACGAAAGCAAAGTGACTAATCTCAGTGGGTGAATTTCAGAATAAAGTCAGGAAATGGTGCTCTGTGAACTTCCAACCCAGAAATGGATTAAGGGGTAGAAAATAAATGAATGAATGAATGAATGAAAGTTAGCAATCAGCTGATTTTTTATACCCCCTCAGAGCAAAAAGGATTGTATAGCACTGCCTAATCATCTGCGCATCATTGATTTAGGAAATAAAATTTGCAGAACAGAGCACAGTCCAAAATAACAGTGGCTGTGTAAATGGATTCCTCTAAAAACAACTTTGAGTCCTAATCAATGTCAAGAAAAAAACAATTCAAAACTTTTCCACAAATTTGCCAAATTTTGCTATCTACTCTTTCTGTGTGACCTTTACCTTTCAGGTCCAGGTTCTTGGCGCCCATGGTGGTCTGCGTGGTGACTTTGGTGTCGATCTTGACCACGTGGAGGTTGTTGGTGTCTCGCGAGATGTGGACGTTGTGCCAGTGGTTGTCGTTCAGAGGAGAGTTGGAGTTCCCCTTGATCAGGTGAGCCCCGTTCCCCAGGTCGGAGATGTAGTGCAGGTAACTGGAGACAGGAGAGAGAAGAGTCATACAAAGAGAAAAACGCATCAGTCATACTCAAGAGAGAGAGAGAGAGAGAGAGAGAGAGAGAGAGAGAGAGAGAGAGTTGTGTAAATTAGATTGGCCGGATGCCAGAAGGAGTTTAAAGTCTAATCTTTCACAATAGGGAGGCAAGCAGGAGATTTAGTGTTATATTTTCTATGCGATTGGGCAGATGTTGTGAAAGCAGCTCTTGATATTATTAAGAAATCTGAAAGTTATTGTAAGACGCATTGTATTCTGATAACAACAGGAAGAGTTCTGTTTTTGTAGGGGCAAGTTAGTAAGTAAGTAAGGGCATAAAGGATTAAAACACACAGAAATACAATTAAACACAAACAGAAAAGATAGAGTAATATGAAGTAGCAATAACTATTTTTTAAGTGTAAGTATGATTAGAACTTTACTAGAGGAGAGAGGAGATAGAGAGGAGAGGAAACGAGAGTAAAGGAAGGGGAAAGAGGAGGTAGGGGAGAGAGGAGAGGAGGAGAGAGAGGAGAGGAGAGAGGAGGGCAGAGGAAAGAATTGAGAGGAAAGAGAGGAGAAAGGAGAGGAGAGAGACAGGGAGAGAGGAGAGAGGAGGGGAGAGGAGAGGAGAGAAGATAAAGTAAATATACATTCAAGCCTTAATCTTGAGAATTAAAGAATAACAACTGAAAATGTATCATCTTGACTGGAAGTTATCAGCAGAGAGAAGTTTCAAACTCAATAATTAATTTTTTAATCTACAAATTGGTGGTCCAAGGTTCAAGATTGGTATATGGACTTAAAAAAAAAAAGGACTGAAGCCAAAAGACGTTCAAAAGTTTCCTATAATGGAACATGGCCAAAGTATTGAGATTTCCACTCGTGCTGAGATTGCAGTATAATAGGAGTGGTCTGTGCGTATGAGGCTAACGCTAACGCTAACTCACCCTTTGACCAGCTCCACCACAATGAAGTCATTTCCGTCCCCGCGGTTGTACAGAATGAGTCCGTCGGGCGAGGTGGTCTTGAACTGCAGGAACAGGTGCATGGAGTAGTAAGCCTGCAGCGTGGGCAGCGTCACAAAGCTGGAGCGAGACTTGAACGTGACCGGGTCCGCCACGATGGACTTGTATCCGATCACGGCGTTGAGCTCGCAGTAGTCGATGTCCCCGTTCTTGCACAGGTCGATGTAGGGCATGCCGTTGAGCGTCAGGCCCTGCAGATGCCCGATGAAGTTGGAGGGGACCGCGGGCATGAAGCGTTTCTCCGTCACGATGCCCGTCTCCACGTTGTGAAACTCCAGCTGCGTGTGGTCGCCCGCCATTTGACCTGGGTAAACTGAACGTGTGAGGCTTGGGCGGAAGTTAAAGACGTTTATCTGTCTAGACAAGGTGTAGTTTTTGTTATTTACTGTTTGTGTCACCCAACCTGGCAACCAGAACATTTCTCCCTGGGTAGGTACACTTTCAAGCTTAACTGTATAGGCAAAAAATATATCTAATTATAGAACTGACTTGTATGTTTTGTTAACATCTACAATTCTTGTTTTATACGAAGACTCCCAGAATTTTGAAACTCCAAAACCAATGGAATTCTGAGAAATTCCTCCAAAATAAATCATTTTTATTTTTTAACTCACTTTTATTGAGCAAAGACTGGTATATATAACTTAAAATACAGCAAAAACAGTTTGTTTAAAAGCTAACACATGCTAACTGCTGTGCTAGGGTAACTATGGTAACCAACTCCTCATAAAAAGCCACAAAGTTATGAAGAGCAAACATGTACATATGCCGTGTAATTACGCTTCCAAAGCTAAAGCCGTCCAAATGGATTGCTCTGGGAGTTCTAGTATAATTATAATTGTTTTATGATTTGATTGAAGACTGCAGATGGATAATAGCTTTTGCATCTGCTCAGGTGTAAATGTATTTTTATATTTTCATCCAGTTTTTCTTCAGACTGTTGTGTGTGTGGGATGTTTGACTGTTGTGTGGTTGGATCACACAGAATGTACAGACATAACCTTTTCCCCATGTACACAGTAACATTGCTACAGTGAAGAGACTTGTGAGTTTACCTTCGACCGGCTGCAGATCGTCCACTGTGAGTTTGAGGCTCTTTCCGCGCCGCACCACTCTCACCGTGTGCCATTCGTTATCATTGAGCGCTGAACCGGCAAAGATAGTCTCTGGACCTTTACCTACGCATATAGTTCACCACAACCATTAAATACACGCACAAAAACACACAGCAGGATACACACACAGAGACAACTTACGGAGTGGAGATAGAGAGAGACAGAGAGAGACGAGAGAGAATTGGAGAAATTCGGAAAAAAAAAAACAAAAACAAAAAAAAACACTAGAATTCAGAATAATAAACTGGATTGGAGGGAATTACAAAAATAAATCTATTGTATTGTGTACAAGAAAAAAATATTTTTCGTTGCTGGATAGATTACAACCCAGTTCATAATCAATAACTATAGAATGAACTTTATTACTGTATTTTTTCCCTTATTTATCTCGTCTTTTGAGTAGGTAATGCAATGAAAAAATCTAAAAGTCTGGCTTGAAATACTCATAATAATAATATTGAATGTCCCACACACAAAAAGATCAATATCGTCTGAATAATATCAGTAAAATGAAAGAATCTTAGCAAACAAAACAAGCAAAAACACATTTATTATTCTGAATCCCAGCTGTAAAAAGCAATGTCCATATTCTTTTCTATACATTCTTTAGTTTTGTAGTGGAGAAAAAGTCAAGTGAGTTGGAGCATAGGGACAGAAGTGTGAGGTTTTGGGGAGGGGAGAACAGTGGGGGGAGGACAGGCTCTCGCTCACACAGACAGACACATGGCTATTTAAAGACTCAGAGATGGACAGATATAATAAATTATGTGGCTGGACAGAGATGGGACGACCTCAACGGGAATGAGTGTATGAGAATCACGTATACTGCAGATGGACTCAACGAACGAATGAAATGCAATAAATGGAACTATTTTTTGTGTCAACTGTGAGCTTGATTGATCTCTATTGCTAGTTTTTTTGTTAATAATACTGTTTCTTAAGTACAATTGCATTACCGTTACACTAAAATGCCCACGTTAAATCGATGTGTTCATTTCATAGTATTTTTTTTCAATGTCTATGTGTTTGATAAGTGTTGGAGACCTTGATATAAGACACCAGACTTATGCAAGAGCAACAGGGAGCAGACTTATCTCAGTAAAAAGTTTCATAGAACAAAGACTACTGTGTTCTTGTGTCTCATTTAATGTCCGGAAAAACAGATTCACACTAAACTTATGTTGAGAATACACAGGCTCTAGATTAAGGCTTGTACAAGATATTTACAGCTTGAAAATAGTCAAAAAACATATATATTTTTGTCTATTTCCAACAGTCACTGAAGCTTATTTCTCACTTTCTCACACAAGTCTTACATCAAAGACACTCACCACAATGACTTTAAAACCAGACATTCTGAAGAATGTTTTTTTTGGAAAGTTGTCAACGAAGAGCCTTATTAGCCATAGATCATATAACCACATAAAAAAATCCATAACTTTGTTTTGAGGCTACACAAGATAACTGCAGATGCTACCGGCCTAGTCATGTACATATGAGTTATTTACATACAGTAGTAGTAAGTAAGTAAGTAACCTTTACAATTGTTGTGGGCATTTGTCTCTCTCTCCACACAGAGATGGTAGCAGGGGTCGCCATACAGGAGGTGCATGGCAAATCTATTACACATGCTTTTAGTGGTAGGAGCAAACCGGAGCGCCCGGAGGAAACCTACGCAGACACGGGGAGAACAAGCAAACTCCACACAGGCAGGCTTGGAGGTGGAATCAAACTCAGAACCTTCTTGCCGTGAAGCACAAGCGCTAACCACTACACCACTGTGCTGCTTATATAGTTACTGTACATAGTTAATTATAGTTATATAGTTATAGAGATGATTGTTTTTATTTGATTTGAATTGTTTTTATTTCATTTTAATAGCTTTTATTTGATTTGAATTGTTATTTTGTTTGATTGTTTTTTTGTTTTTAAAGCTGGCAGACTATAATGTGTTTTTTAATCTGTGCAGTAATGTGCTATTTAAATACAATGGATCGAGACAATTGTAAAAGCACAAAACACAACCTGCACGAATCTATTTCACTATCCCCTTTTCGTCTCAAATTACAGCCACTATCTGCTCCCTGTACATGCTTTCTCTCAACAGGGAATCTTGGCTCTATTCCTCTCATTATTTCAATAAATCATCCTCTTACATTCACCCATTTTGACATTAATAGGATAACAGGAGCGTGGCGGACTGCTTAAAACCCCTCCATAATGTATATTTCATGCCTGGTGTGTTCATACATGTTGATAATTTGTAAGGAGGAGACAGAAAACGATTAAGCTTCCCTGCTGAATTCGCCCACTCAATTCTTTTTGCACAGAGCACAAGCCTCACCACAGCCTCTAGGTGGCAGTGTTGCTACACGGCTCGAGAGGGGAGGGAGCTCTCCTTGGTGCTGACGTGCGAGGAAAGAAATTAATAAATATAAAAAAGCGCTAGTAGCTGTCCTTTTTATGATGTCTCTCTCTTCTCACCGCCCGTCTAACCTCGTGCTATCTGCTTATAGCCAACCGCACATATTTGACAGTTTTCTTCGTGGTGGCAAGAACGAGGGAAGCTAACCAGCCTCGGTGTTGTCTGTGGGGGGAATGCAGCGGTAATAGGGTCCAAACACATGCCGTTTTCACCAAAAATAACTATGATTTAAAGGGAGAGGAATCCTGCTGTTATCACCGCGCCGTGACCACACACAATACAGCAGAAATAGCAGCTGGAATTTGATGAGATAATACAAGGTTTACTACGAAAGAATGAAAGAGTGTGATTGAGACGTATATGGGTAATCAATAGCAGCAGAGAAAATTGTTCCACGGCTTTTTTTCCCCATTAAGTTGCATTGAAATGTGAAATAATGGATGTTGAGTTTCTGTAAATAAGCCTGTTTTTTCTCTCTTTTTTATCTACGTTGCATAGGGATACATGAGAAATCGCAATCTGACTTTATCATATATGTTAATGATGTCAATTAGAAAATAGCAAAGGCTGCAAGTATTTTAGTCCTTTGCCAATTATACACAAATGCATAAAAAGACAAAAGTATGCTAACATTGTCAGGGTCATATAGTCAAAAATATGTATGATTTTGTTGCATATATCACCTTTAACACAGAATGCTCTTTATTTCAGTGGCATTTGACTTGATGATGATTTGCAATAGAACAAAACTATGTCTCAAACCCATCCCACGGGGAGAAAGTCAACCTAAAGACAACACCATATATTTTCAGACAAAGACAAAATCTATGTGTTTCTTTAACTCAAATTCACCAGGTTTTTTAATTTATACATATTAAAAATCACGTTGATAATCAGAAAATTCTGCAGCCCTGGTATTGAAACGCATCTGCAAAATACCTCTAGTCAAGCCTCTCTGAGCACTAACACAACACGGCCATTTGTACACAGGGCTTGTCACTTCTTCCCTCATGAAGCTAACCAGTAAATCGCTCCTACTGTCTAAAATATATGAACTGGCGCCTTTTATATTGGCCTCAGCTCTATTGGTTTCGGGAGTGTGGCCGGTGACCTATAAGGAGGTAATGGCATGGAGGGGGAGGTGAGAAGTAAACTGACCCGAACGAATTCTGCTGTAGAAAATGTCAAGGCCGGCTCCATCAGTCAGCGAAGCACGCAAGCACGAAATCAGAGCGAGAAATACGGAGGCCAAAAGCGGCAAATGCATTCAGGCTAACGGGAATGAAAGAAAGGGTCGGAAAAACTGAAATGTACAGTGAAAGAGTGCAAATATAGCAGCTGCAACTACTACTACTACTACTACTACTACTACTGTTATTGACTGATCCAGCCTCGTTGTGTGAAGGAGAGGTTTTGCAGGTCTTTTGTTCCTGCTGCTGTCAGACTGTACAACGAACAATGAGGACTAACAGACACTGCCGACCTGACCTCACATGTCGTGTCTTGCACTAGAATAGAAAGGGTTTTAAACTTGCTAAAGATAGAGACTTAATACTTAATTATTGCTTCTTTATTATGCTAAAGTTATAGATTGCATGAGACTTGGGTGGCATCTCTGATTGCCACCCCCCTGACCCAGAAATGGATTAAAGGGTAGAAAATGGATGGATGGATGGGTGTTCATTTATCTTGTGCTGTGTGCTCCTCTTTCCTAATGTTCGGTAACTGGGGATGCAACACTGAAATTTCCCCAGAGTGGGGTGACTAATGGATCTCTTAGTCATAATATCAATCTTAATTGTTAATGGTGAGTTTACAAGCACCATGGACAGCGTGGGGAGATCAGAGTGGAGATTGGCTATCACGGTAAAGATAATCACAACTAGTACACTAAGAGTGCACTTCCTGCTTTTAGGAAAATGAAAGACCGACGTCGTTATTGGTTCGTTCTCGGCTTGAAGGACACTACTATCTGTAGTAGAGCTGCTCTGGGTTAGAATGATGAACGCAAGACACTAGGAGATGAACACTACTACATAGACTGAGTGTCTTGCCCAAGGATACAATGGCAGAGTACAGAGGAAGCTAAAGCTGCATTCACTTTCCCTGCAATAAAACATTGTTTTATTTAAAAAAAAAATCTTTATTTTAATTTTCTTTCTAGACATTACATGACAAAGTAATAATTATCCCTTACCATAAAGCCCTTACCATTTTTAAAGGCAAAAATAATGCGTATAGTATTTATGCTTTAAGTAATACAGTAAATAATGTCACTGCTTTTGGCTACACCTTTTATTCCCTGGTCAAAACAAGGATCATATTTCCAAACTATGGACAAAATGATAGGACCTGAAATCTATTAAACCCTGCTTTGAGATTGCACACAGACAGGAGACGATATGGATGTGTTTTTAAAGTTGAAATAGCGTTTGTAGAGCGGACGATGGGGTCCCCTGAGGAGACTCAGCTGTGCTCTGGGCACGAGTATCCATCCTGTTACCATGGATCACTGCCTGCTGTGGGAGAGGGTGAGGGGGGGAGACAGAGGGGAGGGAGATCTGCCAACCTGGGAGCACACGGGCGCCCGAGCACTGTTCATTTTGGGTCACTGCGTACAAGACATAACAGACTGCAG